AACCTCCTCAAACATCATGAGAGAGCGCACCGTGACACCCAAACCTCCTCAAACATCATATGAGAGCGCACCGTGACGCCCAAACATCCTCAGAGATCATGAGAGAGCGCGCCGTGATGCCCGAAATTCTTCAAGCACCATGAGAGGGGTTGTTAGATTTTAAGGACAAATTCCCGCGGGGAACGCGAGCTTTCAGGTTTGTGCCGAGGTTTATTCTGAGAAAGTGAGGCAGCTAGAACCACTCTTTCAGTAGACGCTGGCCAGAAGGAGAACAGATGAGAGGACAGGAAGGAGAATAGAGAGTAAGACAGATAAGAGGACATCAAATAGCGGCCAGTGGAGGTTCTAGGCTTCCAAGTGTGCCGACATAATTTGAGCAGCCTGTGGAGGTCCCAGCGTACAGGCTCAGGAAAGGGCTTCATGTTTGGAATGTTTTGACATGCGGTTCAGGGCTCAAGATTTTGAATGTGTGATTTATGCGCAGAAGGCCGGTAATTATTGATGTCGGGCACACCGGTCCGCCAAACCTGGGACGGAGGAATGAGCATATTCGGCTCTCTGTAATTCTCAACTCCTCCATGCAGCTGCGCTCCAAGGGGCATTTGACAGTGAGTATAAGAAAAACTAGTTCCCGCCAGCTCCCTTGGGAACCAATTGACGAAACGGTTCCCGCCAGAACTAGCGGGAACTAGTTTGATATACTGGAAGCTTTACGGTTTTCCATCGCAAGCCATAAATGCATATAGAAACTTTACTTACAAGAAATGCAAAGGACGCTTCTCATCGCAACGGGTTTCTTAACAGAGTCCCGGAGCCCATGTTGTACATTGGCTCTGCTTAAAGTGTGCTACTTTTCAGATTTGTTTAAATCATTTGTTCTGTACGAAGGCTTCTTTCGGATTTGTATTATTGAGCAATGCAGCATCTCAGACTTGTGGCTCTGTTAAAATCAGTGTTTTTGTAGGCAAGCTTCAAATCACAACTGGTTGGTTTTTGAAGCTGTTGTGGAAAAACAACATTCCGCGCTATCTATCAATTGCATCCGCTGGCACGAAATCACCGTCCTAACAATTGTACATTATGAAAGTTAGTTGAAATATCTGACTAGGAACGCCCCAGGCATGCACAAGTCATATTTAGAACGACAAATTAGTGATATATTTCCAAACAGATATATGGGCCGTCAATTTTGGGACAAGGGCTCGACGTGACAATTGTCTTTTTCATTGGGTTTCAGGTTTTAGATTTTTTGGATTTTGGTTTTTGAGTTTGAAGGTTTTTGTGCTTTACGGTTTAGGGTCCAAAGCTTTGGGGTGTAGAGCGTAGGTGCATCCGAAAGCTTTGCAAGGAAAGCATGAGCATCTTTAAAATGCATTGAAGCTGCCAAATTTAAGCCCTCAACTGCACGTACATCCCAAACCCGAACCGTACACCCCCAGATCCAAAACCCCGGCAAAGGCCTGATGGGTTGCTTCCAGCGGGAGTTGCAAGTTGTAGGTGGCCCATGTGTGCTTCCATAGGCTACAACCAGGGGCATCCTAGTTATGGCCTTCAACTCTAAAATCAATTTTAAACCTAGCTTCAAAGAATCCCTGAACCCTGAAACTTGAACTTTAACCTTAAACCCTAAACCCTAAAGCCTGAAATCCCTACAGGCTGCTTTTTCACAAGGGGCTCAGCTTTGGTGTGCAACTGCCCACAAATGCTGACAACCAGGGCGCTGCTCGAGAATTGTTAGACCTTAGGGTTTAGGGTTTAGGCATTGGCAAACAATAGTTACAAGCAGATATGTACAGGAAATACAGGAAGTACCGGGGGAGTGTAGATGCACTTGCAGTTAAAGGGTTCATAACATTCCGGCCAGCGATACGTGGCGTTAAGTGTACGCGAGGTTGGCTACACATTACAGTTGCCTTGCGCTTGGTCACAGTCACAATTACATATGAATCAGCCAGGAGCCTCCAAGTCTTGTTGATGAGCAGTTGATGAACTTGAGTATAATGCATGACCAACAATTAGGAAGCTATATCCCAAACCCTGAACCCGAAACTATGAACCCAAAATCCTAAGCCCTGATCCCTAAACTGTAGTCCACAAGGTCTTGGTACAGGAATGGTACAGAAGCGGGCAACTGTTTTTCTTCTGGGTTTGAGTTCACGGTGTAGGGCTTAAGGCTTATTCGTGGTCAGTAGGGAATGAGCAGAAGGATTATAGGCATTGTTATTGTGAATTTTTTGCGGCCTACCACCGTACCGACCACCAGTAGCACTTCCAGACCGTACAAAATCACCAGAAATCCCAGACAAGTCCAACCTGAAACCATCTCGCGAAAGATCCCAAGACGCGTCCGAAACATGTGCTTTCCGAGGGCAGTATGGGCACTCCAGTCACAACCCCAAGTAGTGAGCTCTAAGCCCTACCCTCAAACAAACCCCCTAGCCCTCAAGCTCCAGAATTTCCAACCACCAAAAATCCGTACACTCCTCCACCCAAACACTCCGAAAAACTATCTCTCGACCCTAAACCTTAAACGCTGGCCCCCAACCCTAAACCTTATCTATCCCAATATACCCCATATCCCGGCAAAGGTTAGCCTCTCGCAGCCCTACCTTCGTGTTGCTCTCTCCGCCAGCTGGGCTTTCCAGGTGGCTTGGGATTTCAACGCGATTAAGGTAGGGATTTTCAGCTTTTTGGTTTACAAGGTCCTTCAGAGAACATGCATGTATGTGTGTTAGATGTATCTACAACAAGAGTGTACATAGATACATGAATACACACACGCGTCTATTCACTTAGAACAAAGGCGGGGGATATTTACGCACACATAAGATATTTGGGTTTTAGTGGTTTAGCATTTAGACATTACAATTCGTTCTGGGACGCGGTATGAAGGTGTGTATATATATATATTATAGATCTATATATGTATACATATACACATATATCTATATATATATCTCTATATATATATATAGCATTTTGAGCTTGGAGTGTAGGATTCGGCCTGGGGCTCCTTTCCTGGGGATCCTGGACAGATTGTAGGACCCCAAACCCTAATGCATAAGGCCGAAGCTTGAAAACCTAAGCCCCAGAAGCTTTGCCTGCAGATGCTAATCGATTGACATTATGGTTCACCATGGTAGGACTTCAATATGAAGATCTTCAGCTCGCCCCTACATTTTGAAACCCTCAATCCCAAATCGTTGGTGTGCTCCAGTCTTCAGTTTTGCAATCCCAATTTTTGAAGTTGCAGGGGCTTCGGGGCAAAGCTCACACAACTCCAGCACCGGAAATCTCGGCCTGTCTCAAATCGTTTGCCAGCTTTCATTCTCTTTTTCGTTGCCCATCGTCCTTTTGCCTTTACATTTCCCTACATAGCCCCTACAACCCTCAAACCCTTTGTTTTCGGGTCTTGACCCTAAACCCTGAACTCCAAAACCAAAACCCTAAAACCCTAACCCCCTAAACTATCAAACCCGTTGTTTCCAGACGCCGGTCCTAAATCCTAAACTCAAAACTACGTCGCATTTTCCATTTCTTTTCCACTACTCTGTCCCTATAGAACGGTGTTTATGCATCATAATTCTCTTTATGCATACCTATCACAACGCTCTGCCTGACACTGCTTTTTGGGGTGCCAGGTCTGGCATGCCTTTGGATGTGAGATGCATGGTCGCTGGCTGTTGCCGCTGAGCTCCTGGGCTACATAGTGTTGAGGGCCCTTTGAAGATTTTCTCTGGGGTTTAGTTATCTGGGGTATGTAAGGTTCAAAGGAAGTCTCGGGGGTATATGAGGTGCCTTTAAAGGGGCTTTGAGGGATTATCTAGGGGCTTTATCGGTTCCCTGCAAATGGGACTTAGAGGGATTATCCTGGCGTGTATAGGGTGAATGCCCGATCCCTTGTAGATGTAAGCCCTGAACCCTGCACCTGCCTCTAAGCCCATGCAGCCCCAACTCCACGCCCTATACCCTGAACCTTGACCTCAACAACATGGGTCCCAAGCCTGGGCCTCGCTCCAGATCCAGCCAATAAACCCTAACCTACCATCATATCCTATTTCAATTTCCTGAACCCAATTGGACAAGAGCGTCGCCCACCACCTCCTTGGGCGAGTTCGTTTAACATGCGACGAAAATTGAAGCCACCTAACATGATTAGTTGAGCAGGAGGGATAAACGTCCAGCCAATTAGCCAGGGGCGAGGGAAGTGAAGGAACCTTACTGCAAGTGTGAGGTTTTCAGTTGCCAGCAGAAGTTCATTCCTTGCAGCTTGCCCCTGCAGTTTGCAGGATTTCCACACACAAGGGGCCCCTTTTCATAAGTTACATCATCTTTTGTCCATATCTTTGGGGTATATAGGGGCCCCGTAAAGCCCGCATAAAACCCCCAGACACTTTCCATATCCCTGCAAACCGTTGCGCATGAGGCATGGCGTTTGCCGTGGCTGTTGCGCTCCTCCCGCCTTTGCGACCTCTCCCGCCCCTTAGTAGGTTTTAGGGTTAAGGGTTTGGTTTTGGGTTTAGGGTTCAGGGCTTCGGGTTTGCAGGTTTAAGGGTTTAGTGTTTAGGGTTTCATGTGCAAGCCCTGCCCAAACCGGAGTCCCTAAACTTCTCACAGACCCCTACGAATATCAACCCCCCGCACACTTCAACCGTAAATCCCTCACCCTCCTCTTAACAGCTTTTCAAACAAAACTCCTAACTCGTGCTATTATCCTTCTTATTCTTGTAATTAGACTTATACTGTTACTGTTAGCGTAACCCGTGAAGCCTTGAACCCAATCCTGAACCCTAAGCCCAAAATCCACAAAGCCCTAAATTCGCAAACCCCTTTTGAAGCCATAATATTGACAAATGTAGGTACAACAATTTTAAGTATCCCCAGACCCCTTGGGAGGATCTAGAAAGTAGTTCCCCAGTAGTAGAATAGGGTATCATATTGGGGGTTCTACTTTTTAGATCCTTGCAGGAATCTGGGTAGGTTAAACTCTTAGCCCTAAACTCTAAACCCTAAACCCTAAGCTCTAACCCCTAAGCCCTAAACCCTAAACCGTAAACCCTACACCCTAAGCCCTAAACCCTAAACCCTGTACCCTAAGCCGAAACAAGGCATTTCTTGGCTCGGTACTTGCGGCCCGATGTGGAGTGGGAACTCCCAGGGGAGGGGTCTGAGATGATCCGAGTTAGCGGTTAGGGTTCAGAGCAGCTTGGTGGTCTGGCTTGACAATAATTTCATATGGTTTCGGGTTTAGGCATGTCTTAACAATCATTATAAGGTTTAGGGCTTTGGGATTTCTAGGCGGAACCCAGGAAACGTTAAGCAAAGACTCCTCAAGACCTCCCAAAGGCTAAGGGGCCCTAATGTGTCCCAGTAAGAGACACCCGTAGATAATCGGCCCTCCCCCATAGAGCTTCTTGAAGAAGAGAGGCAACAAGATTGCGGCTTGTGAGTCCCTGTGAGGTGGGCATGATATTCCTTTTAGGGTTTAGACGTAGAGTTTAATTCCCCATGGAACTTCTTGAACAAGAGGGGTACTGAGATTTGGGCCAGTGAGCCCTTGAAGGGCGTGTAATATTCAGTGTAGGGTTTGGGGACTGGGACGTAGGGTGTAGTTTAGAGTTTAGAGCTTCTCAAGATGGGAGACCCCTCAAGGTCGGATGTAGGTCAATGCAGCCTAAGATCTAAACCTGAAGGCCTAAAGGCGGTAAGGGACCACCAGGCAGCCCTTGTTTCACTCTCTGCCCGCCGCTTTGGCAATGTACTGAGGAAAACCAGTGCAGACTTGAACGTCTAGGGCTGGGTGTGTACTGTTGGAGGTAGGGTAGTTGTCGTGCTTTACAGGTAGCATCCTGTAGTACCCTCGCCCTAATCAGTCTTGTCACAGATATCGGAGAAACGTCCTGAAGGCTTGGCCCTAGCCCGCAGATATTACCCCTCATCACAACCTTACTTCAGGATGGACTTAAGTTTCTCATGCTGCACGCACCTCTTGACTTCTCTACCTAAATGAAGGGTGACAAATGCGGCAACATGAGTTTTGGTGCAATCTGTTGGTTGTTTTCAGAAACAACAAATATGTCAGCTATCCCACCCAGCTTCCAGTTTCAGATTTAGAGCATCTTCTTGTAGGCTTCATGGACCCCTGAAACCATGTCACTATCTTTGTTATGGGGTTGTCCCCAAAGTGTGGTACTTTTATGGCAGTAAGCATCCGGGGGCTGGAAGCCGCCAGGGCCGAATGTGTAAGAGCTTCATTTCAGATACAAGAAAGGACAACTTTGTCTTTGAATGTCCTAGAAGCTACAGACACAGACCCCCCCCCCCCCTGAATTGCAAGCCCGAGACCATAAAGCTTTGGATCCAAAGCGCCCCCATAGGCTCTAACCCTGTTTTTTTTTTCCAGGGAGTATGATTCAGGATTTTTTTGGGTGTAGGGTTTGGCCTGTACGGCTCTCGATGGTTGATGGCAGAATCCTGCATGATCAGCTGCATTCAGGACACTTTGTTGCAGCCACGGGTAGACAGGATGCACGGATGCTGCTAGGGGAGTCCCCTTGCTATTCCGTGCGACGGCCTTGGGTTCGGAGGCCTGGTTTGGGTTTGGGAAATGGATAAGGACATGAAAATGACCCCATCCCGCTCTACACGCAGTTTCGGATTTGGTGTTTAGGGTTTCAGGATTTGGGGTGTCGGATTTGCGGCCTTTGAAGGATGTGTAGCATAGGGAACTGAGAGCTCTCCAAGGAATCAGCAGGGTGCTGAGGATAGGGGAGCAGGAGCTGTTTAGGGTCTAGGGTTTCCAGACGTCCTTCGCTTTTTGTTAATCTAAAATCACTAGCTTTGGGCTGTTTTTAAAGGATTTCTTTGTAGTGCCAGAACTTTTTTTTGAAAGAGGGCTACTATCAAACCCTCACCCCTAAACCGCAACCCTAGCCTCTCGAGACTCACGTTTAGAGCTCCAACGTCCGTATTTTTCGATGCCGAATATATGGTAACCATAATGGCGTCTATAGGGCGTATACTTGAGAATCAAATTGAAACTCAAATGAAACATGAGAAGGACTCTGCTGGTCTAGGGTTTGACATTAGGATGTAGGCTTTAAGGTTTCAGGTTTAGGCTTTCAGGGTCAAGGTCTAGGGCTCAGTATAAGTATAAGGCTTTAAGGTTTCAGTTTTAGGTGTGGACATTAGTGTTATTTAAGCCTGCAGCAGTGCTTGCACCCTGCCGGTTCAGCTCAAGATTCTGCGACCTCTAAACCCTGAAACCACAAAGCCTAAACTCTGCACCTTAAACCTTAAGCCCTACCCTAAGGCTTAAACAACAATCAATAGGCGCCAACCTTATACCCTAAACTGCACCCTGAACCTTACACCTTCAACCTTCAACGCCCGACCCTACACCCTCAACCTTAAACACGTTGCCCTGCACCGTAAAAACAAGAACCAGGACAACTAAGCCCTAAACCTTAAATGTTAAAGATTAACCTGTGATCTCTAAACTCCTACCCCCAACGGTACAGTAAGACCTTACACTTTGCGATGTCAACCATGCACCCTGTCAACCCGAATTTCCAATGTGGGTACGTTGAGGGTTCATGACTGGGAATTAGTTTCCAATGCTTTACCAAGCACCCAGTCAGGGAAA